TCCAGACACCGGGGCCCCGCCCCCTCCCGCGCCCACTCGGTCCCCAGGGCCCTTAGCTGGGGAGGGGGGCGCCCCAGGGCTCACCCCCCAACACACACACACACACACACACAGACTCTTTTGATACTGAAGGGAGGTTTGCGGCAACGACTACCTGCTCTGTAATTACTTTAAAAAAAAAACACGGAAAAAGTAAAAAAATATTTTTTGGGTCATGAAAGCATGGAAAAGAGAGAAAAAGGAAGTGAATGTGGACGGGGAGCTAAGGGGATGGGGACCCCTCACCCTGTTCAGCCTTGACCTCGGAGGCCCCAGGTGGGGCCCCATCACCTGGCACCTGCAGCCCCTCTGAGGCAGGTCCTGGGGTGCTCTCTCGGCCCCCACCTCTCAGCAGAAATGGAGGGGCCCGTATTAGTGTCCTGGGGTGGCCATAGCAAAGTCATAAAAACTGGGTGGCCCAGAACGGCCAGAATGTGGAGTCACAGGTCGGGATCCAGGAGTCTGGGATCGGGGAGGGGGCGGGGGGGCCTGGCTGGTGACCCCAGACGTTGCTAGGCTGGCAGCAGCTTTACCTCAACCTCCCCTGCGTCTCCACATCCATCGTCTTCCCTCTGAGCGTGCCTGCCTCTGTGTCCCAGTTCCCCCCGTTTTTTTTAAAAAAAATATATATATATTATTAATTTTTTACAGAGAGGAAGGGAGAGGGATAGAGAAAAACATCAATGAGAGAGAAACATCGATCAGCTGCCTCCTGCACACTCCCCACTGGGGATGTGCCCGCAACCAAGGTCCATGCCCTTGACCGGAATCGAACCTGGAACCCTTCAGTCTGTAGGCCAACGCTCTATCTACTGAGCCAAACCGGTCAGGGCCCAGTTCCCCTTTTATTAGGATGCGGGTCATGCTGGATGAGGGCCCTTCCTCCTCCTGCCCCACCTCACTGGCCCGTCTGCAAGGACTGTGTCCACGTCAGGTCACACGCACAGTCCTGGTCAGCACCTCAGCGTGTCTCAC